CCTAATAGGAACACAGCTTGGCATCCCCTGGTTGGTGCCTCTTTGAGCAAGACAACAGTGACTGCCCATCGGAGGTTTCCAAGTTTGAGGAATACACTTCTTAAAATTCTGTTTTGTTTTTTCTCTTAAGGGGGGTAGGTGTATAAGGGCATAGTAGGAAGGGAATGTTGCCAAGTTAGAAAACTTCGCAGCATAATATCCAAATGGATGTGAACTAAATTTAATGGCAACTGCGCCCAAAGAAGGTCATTTCAAGAGGAAAATTCCAGTTTATGCACGGCCAGGGTTACAGAGCTCAATGGCAACTCCTTTGAAGTTCTAAGAGCTGTTCTTTTGGGTTTCTTCCCTCCCCTTCTTTCTCCACCCCACCCTCATTCCTAGGGTATACTGTGATGTGATGTAAAAGAAAGCCATGTGTGGAGTGCCTCGGTGGCTCAGTCGGTTAAGCGTCTGACTTGGGCTCAGGTCGTGATCTCGTGGTTTGTGGATTCCAGCTCCACGTCAGGCTCTGTGCTGACAGTTGAGCTGTTTCGGATTCTGTCTCCCTCTCTCTCTGCCCCTCCCCTGCTCACTCTGTGTGTGTGTGTCTCTCTCAAAAATAAACAAACAGTAAAAAAAAAAATGTTTTTTTTGAAAGAAGGCGATGTCTGAAGAACATGTCCTCCCCCAAGAAAGGTATCACATTGGCTATGATAGAGGAGCCAAAAGTGTCTTTGTAGACAGGACGGGGTACAAATCCTGGCTCTCCCAGGTACAAGGTGTGTGATACAGTCAAAGTATTTAACCTCTCTGAGTTTTAGAGTGTCATCTGTGAAGTAAGGACAATAGAACCTATTGTGTAGATTGTTGAGGGGGACTGTGAAAAAGTACACAAATGCAAGACTTTGGAGTCACACTGCGCAGATTCTCATTTTTCCTGGACAAGTTTCCAGCTGTGTGACCTACGAAGTAACTACTTTATATGTGCCTTATACAAACACTTCCTTATTTATAAAGATAATAATACCCACCTCATAAGGCCTTTTAAAGATTAAATGAGATGTTGGTAGACCTCTTGCAAGTAAGTATCTGGGACAGAGTAAATTCTCAATAAATTTTGACATGTGCATAAAGTGCCTAGGATTTAGCCCAAAAGGTAAGTTCTATAACTGATTAATTATACTTACTAGTTTAGGGGCACCTGGCTGGCTCAGTCAGAAGAGCATGTGACTCTTGATCTTGGGTCATGAGTTTGAGCCCTGTGTCAGGTGTAAAGATTACTAAAAAAATAAATAAATAAACTTAAAAAACATTATACTTACTAGTTAAAAAGCTGTACCTGGTTATATACTTTGATAAATCTTCAGGTATTCAAGTTAAACACACAGGAACATCTATTTGTAATTTTTAAATGTTGTATTGAAGTATAACACACATACAGCAAAGTGCAGCCATCTTAAGTATAAATTTAATTATATCTTAACCCATGACTTTAAAAGCTAGATTTCTCTGTTGATTCTGTCAATCAGAAGAAAGATTGCTTTATCTAATTAAAATGACAGTTTTATTAAGAGAGAGAACCAGAAATACAACACTGAATATACCCAATTTTTTTTAACCAACAAACAGCACACATTTTATTCATATAATTACTTACCCACCATCCTCACTCATATTCTACAGATTCCTTGGATTCACTACAACACTGGCAGTTGCCAAGCAGAGGTGACACATTCATAAAAGTGCCTGTGAGTTTGACCTCTGTAAGCACCTGGTTTTGAATCTTAAATTTTTTTTTCTTTAATTGATTACATCTTACAGGAAGTTCAATAGCTTCTCTTGAAAAGCTTGACAGACAGATGTTTTGCAACTGAGTGAAGCATAAACACCAATACTTCCTGGCTTTGAAAATTCTTTATTCTGAAAGATCTGGCTGAATTCACCCATCACAAGCAAATGACAATTCCTTTTAGCAACTCCTATACCTAGCAGTTGACATGTTTATTTTGACAAAGATTCTAAAGCTCTTTCTGATTTCCAAAACGTTCAAATGTGAAAAAGCGAGTGTCTTAAAATTGAGGAAACATTATTTTGATACTTGATACTTTGCAACTTACATTTCATCAAAAGCAATATGGGTTGTCTATGTGTAAAAAAAAAAAAAAAAAAAAAAAAAAAAAGCCTGTACAGGACACTGTGATTAAGACTCTACTTGGCCTCATGTTTGGGAGCTAAGTTGTACTGGGAGCAGGAGACTCAAAGTGATGAGTCTTGAGTATTTTCACCAATGCAAACAGCACTCCAAGGCAATTTATCTTTCATATTAATAATCCTTACGTCTTTGGAGTGTCCACTCTGTGATAGGCACTATGCTATGTACATTATCTCCCCTACTCTCTTTTTTTGTATTTAAAAAAATTTTTTTATGTTTATTTTTGAGTGAGAGAGAGAGAGAGAGAGCATGAGTTGGAAAGGGGCAGAGAGAAGGGGAGACACAGAATCCAAAGCAGGCTTCCGGCTCCGAACTGTCGGCACAGAGCCTGACGCCGGGCTCGAACTCACTAACTGTGAGATCGTGACCTGAGCAGAAGTCGGATGCTTAACTGACTGAGCCACCCAGGCGTCCCTTTTTTTTTTTGTATTTTTTAAAGATTATTTATTTTGAGAGAAAGAGAGAGAGAGTATGTGTGTGCAAGCAGGGGAGGGGCAGAGAGAGAGAGAGAGAGAGAGAGAGAGACAAAGAGAGAGAATCCCAGGAAGGCTCCATGCTGTCAGCACAAAGCCCAGAGTGGGGCTCAAACTCATGAGCTGTGAAATCATGACTGAGCAGAGATCAAAAGTCATGTTTAACCACCCAGACTGAGCCACCCAGCTGCCCCTCTCCCATAGTCTTTATAAGTGTTCTATACAGCAGGTATTATTATTTACAGACAAAGAAACTGGGGCTGAAGGAGATCATTCTTTAGGCTAACTCATCTGTTTGGAAGGTCCTGAATTTGAACCCAAGCCTGTCAGACTTCATAATAATGTTATGAAGACTCTTTCCAGGAGTAGAAAGAGGATGAATGTTTATATCCGTACATGTATGTTTATGTCCACATATTTCATTAGGGAATTTCCTTTCACTGAAGCTTTATAAAGCATAAAAACCTCACTGCTATAGGCAGTTGGGCAGAAGGTCAGATTGAATTAGTGACAAGTATGAATTGCAAATTCATTTTAAATAAAATAGATTTTCCTAATACCATCCGAATTTCAAAATGGATTCCCACCCATTCTCTTCTTTGTGTGTTCATAAAAACCACTTGAACTGGGCAGATTTGGTGTTATCAGCCTAATGTTACAGGTAAGAAAAACAAGGGCTGAAGAAGTTAAGTGCCTTTCCTATGGTCAGAGAGCTGTTTAGTGATAAACCCACAGCTCCCTACTCTGCAGGGTGACCTAACAAATTCCTCCCGAATTACCAGATAATTATTGGATAAGGATGATATGTATTCGTTATATTAATTATTCATATATAAGAGATTGCCTGAAGTGCTCAAAGATGTATTTCAAATATGCTCCTTGTAATCTCATTTATATCACTCTTTTGTACTACTTAGCAAGACAGAGTTTGCTAAATGAAGGAAAATTTCTGCCCAGATCCCAATCAACTTATTATAAATTCCAAATTAATAGGGTCTAAATAAATAAGAGCTTATTATGGGGCTAAAAGCTAATAATGTTATTTGTTTCTGATATCTTTTTTTTCATTTGCTTTGGCTCCAATTTGAGTATTTCATCTACTGCATATTTTTTTCTGTTCCTCGTTAGAGATACAGGGCAAAAGAGGCACACAAGGAAAGAATTACTTGTATATGAATAAAATTAATAACCTGAAATTATAGAAGGGGGGAGAGGCATCTTTTTGATAATTTATCATAATGTTTAGTAACAGCAATTTGCAGTAATGAAATAACTGATCTTTGCTTCTCCTGGGTATATGTTGCATTTATCAGTTTATGCTTTACTTACATTTTTTTTTAATTACTCTACTTGTTAAATTATTTAAACTTAGAAGGCAACTTCTAAGTTATTAATAGTACGGCAGTCTTCTGAAAAGGGAGTCATGCAAATAGTTATTTCATTTTTTTAATTCAGATTTTTAGGAATCAAGATATGTTTGTCATTTAACCCTGGAATTTATAGAGACTAAAAAGCTCAGGATCATTCACCACCCAGAACAGGGGGCTCTCAGCTTTAGGGCCTAGGCGAATGTATCTCTGTAAAATCAACTTTATATAAAAGTCATCTGGGTGGAAATGTGGTTCCTCATGCTGGGTCTCCTTACACTTCTGAAGGAGTCCTAAGGGAGTAAGATGAGTGAGAGCCAGACTGATAGCATGAAAGGCCTGGTGCTCTTAGAGCTATTTCTTCCATGATTAAAAAATAATGAATTTTTTGTTTGCTAGGTGCGAGGAATAAACACTCCTGGATTCCCTCTATTCTGTCGTTCTCCCTCTGGTCTACAAACACACCACAAAGGCTTCTCTGTTCCTTCCCTAAGTCACATTTCTCATTCAGACGTCCTTTCTATTTGGGGTTCCATTACTTACTTCCATTTGGTTCTTTCCTTTCCTGTATGGGCTTCTCTGTTTGTTTTCGGGCTTCTCCCATGTTTCTATTTTTGAATTGTTCCTTTCTGCAGGACCATCTCTGCGTATCACTTCTTTATCATCTTGCTCCCTCTTTTGTATCTGGTATTATTCATCGTCTTTGTTTCTATTTATTTCTCTTCTTCTAGCTCTGATTTCTTTATCTCTGGCCCCCTGTTTCCTCTCCTTGATTCTCCTGTTCCCATCTCCACGCCCTTTGACCAAACAACCCCTCCCTACCTCCTACTTAAAGTCACTGAAGAGGCGCTCCCACTAGACTAGAAGAGAAAGAACAGAATAAAAAGAGAATTGAAAGGTGATGTACTGAACCTGGGAAGGGCAAGTTTAGTCATGCTAACGACTTCCCCATCCTCTTTTGGTCCCCAGGCAGTCTCCTCCACTGTCTGTGTCACAGCCAGGGACCAAGGCAGCACAAAGAGAAGGAAGCAAGAGGAAATAAAGGTGAGTTCTGGGGCAGCCACAGACATGAAGCTATTCCTTAAATACCGCCCGGTCAGCATTCATCTAAGAAACTGTACAAAACAGGATTGTGTTTAAAGTATAGAGCCACTCAGATCAGCTTCCCAGCAAGCTAGAAGCCATTCTCTCTAGAACCTAAAACCGACGGTAAGAATAATCAGATACCGTAGGTAAGTACTATCAGTGTTTCCACCTGACCCTAAATTACTTCAAAACTCTGTCTGCCAGGGTGTTAATGCCCACCTCCAGGATACACATCTTGCTTCTCATGACTTGGCTATGACCCAGCCCCACCCTTGGCAGTTTTTATTTTTAACTATTTCCAGATATGTTTATAAACAAATCATGCCTCTTAGAACCACAATGCTGCCACTCAGTCGTACAGCGGAGGAAAAATCCGGGACAGTTAACACTGTGGAAAGTCTGCATCTCTCTTATCCTTCAGGAAGAAAAAAAGGAGAAGAAGAAAAAGGAAGCATAACAAGTTTTTAAAAGCCAGACGAACAAGAAGCTCTCAGAAAAACCATTTTACCAGCCTAGTGGTAGTGAGATAACCAAACGTACAAACAAGGCGACCTTTCTTCCTTCCCCTCCTGACACCTGGCGTGAGGACGCTGGTGGCCAGGGCAGGCCAAGGCGGGTCGTGAAGCATTGTGCAGTCATTAGTTTGGGGGCAGCAGGGGCCGAGGACGCGCTTTTCATTTCACTTGGGAGCGCTGTGAGGAAGGATGAGGACAGAGCTGAGCTGACTCCATTTTTCCTTTTTTCAGGCAGTTAGCTGCCAGTTTGTTGATTTTGAAACTGAGTACCAGGGAAAACACCTCGACTGTTCAAATTCTTCAAAACAACAACAAACCTGCACTTTTCACATGTTTTTTTTATTTTGACAAAAGAAGTCTTTTTTTTTTTTTTTTTTTTTTTTTTTTGTGAGTGAGGTAAATAGGGGAAATTACCCTAAGTTTGTAACATTGTTTGCTAGGAACCTCTCTGATGTCAGTCCTTCCGCTCCTCCCACCCTGGCCTGCTCTTAAGACAAAAGAGAGAAGAGCTGGGTCTTTGGACAATGAAAACAAAGGCCCAGTGCCGAGGCCTTTGTCTAACCTTGCAGAGATCGAGGTTAGGTCTGAGCAGAGCATGTCCCCAGACAGCCGGGAGTCCTTCCTGGCAGGACAGCTTCAGGCCTGGAATCTGCCCACTCAGGGCTGCCCTCGTGTGGGGACCCCTTGGTCCAGGGGCTTCTCTTTAATAACATCTGAGCTTTTTTTTTTAATAATTTTTTTTTAACATTTATTTATTATTGAGAGACAGAGAGACATGGAATGTGAGTAGGGTTGGGGTAGAGAGAGAGAGGGAGACACAGAATTCGAAGCAGGCTCCAGGCCATGGGCTGTCACCACAGAGCTGGATGCGGGGCTCAAACTCACAAACTGCGAGATCATGACCTGATCTGAAGTCGGACACTCAACCGACTGAGCCACCCAGGTGCCCCAAATTTTTGTTTTTATTTCCTGGCTTCAAAAAGATAACAAAAGGATGAGCTGAGACTGAATCCATAGAACAGAATGACACACATACACAGAAATAAGTTATATGTTCACAAATATACATACAAATGTATAACTTCCCCCCAAGGAAGTTTTAAAATAAAATAAAAACAAATAGAGCAAAGAAAACTCCTTTGCCAGATAGGGTCCAGTTATGGGTATTCCTGAGATGTTGCAGGTTCTCTTTTGCTTGTGAGCCCTCTTGCCCCTAATTGCTGTCTCCATGGTTGGCATTAGAAGGGTCACTGCCTGGTCTCAGGACTTTCGTTCCCTTTGGGGAGCCCCATACCTGTCTTTGTCTCCATTTGGTAAAATGTGGGGCTTGAAGCAGCTGTGTGCACAGTGTGGGCCCCTGCACAGAGCCAAGCAATGGTCCAAGGTAGGACGGTGTGCTCCCTACCAGCCTACACTGGGCTCTGCGCCTCTCCTCTCTCCCAGGCTGCAGAGGGAGGGTTTACTGGCTTTCTGCATTCTATGGAAAGAGAACTATCTCCAGGCTGAGTGTTCTCAGAAAAATCTACCACTAGAGTGGAAAAGCCACTCCTGTTACTTTTTTTGTCCTACAAATACCCATTGCTGGAAGGATATGTGACTGTGGTGCATGTAGTAGTTTCCTAGGGCTGCCATAAGAAAGTATCACCGACTGGGTGGTTATCTACTTAATAAATAAAAACTTACTGTCTCACAGCTCTGGAGGCCAGAAGTCCAAAACCAAGGTGTGGGCAGGGCTGTGCTCCCTCTGCAGGCTCTGGGGAAGGATCTGTTCCAGGCCTCTCTCCTAGCTTCTGGTAGCTTCAGGCATTCCTTGGCTTATAGATGCATCATCACTCCAAATCTCTGCCCCTCCACGGTGTTCTTCCTGTGTCTCCACATCTTCTTCCCTCTGTATGTCTGTGTGTCTGTCTCTGTATTCAGATTTCCCTTTTTTAGAAAGACACGAGTCATATTGGATTAGTGCCCACCCTAATGGCCTCGTTTTAACCTGATTAAATCTGTAAAGACCCTCTTTCCAAATAAGATCACATTCTGAGGTTTGGAGGCTAGTACTTCAGCATATCTATTTTGGGGGACACAATTCAGCCACTACTGGTAGTCAACCTTGTCATCTAAATATCTTCTCAGCTTACAAGGAACACTGCTGTCTCTTGCTTTGTGCGCCAGCTTGTGGAATCTTCTGTAACTAGAGTAATAACAGGGTTCAAACAAAGAGTAAAGAAGACCTGCACAGTATGTAGGGTTAAGTCATCGCATTGGCTTTAGAAATCTCTCCTTGGCTACTTCCCCTCAGCCTGCTCAGTCTTCTCTTCCAGTTCCACCCAAGGTTTCTTTTCTAAACTCCCAGCGCTCAGACACATCTGAGCTGCTCTTCCTTCCTGTTATAATGGCTCTCACCAGTAACAAGAAACGTATTATTCATGATGGGGAGGGGGGGAAATGCTGGAAAATGTGTCAACACTACTATTGGTGGCCTAGTAGCAGCCCACACTCATTATGGGGCAGTTGTGATGGAAGACTAGAAGAGACATTTTGAGATCCTCAGGTGAAAAGTCATTGAAAAGAGAAATCATTCGGGTTGGATTGTCACAGCATTTTCTTCGTAAAATCAAAGCACGTTTGTGTTAATGAACATCTTGGGTTCTCCTCATTTTCTAGGCAATATTCATACCAAACCCACAATACAAATCCTGTCCTCCAGGGCTCACAAGATGATATGACTAATCACCTTTTATTTCCATAGCACTGCTCCTGCCTCCCCAGATTCTCTTATCAGCCTCCCGAGTTAGAGTAACAGATAGGATGAGCAGGTGAGAAAAATGGTGGAGTTCAAAAAATGGCAGGGATGCACTAGGGCCTGGGTCTCCAGCCTGCGTTTCCTTTCCTCCCAGTGGGCTGCTAGCTCCTTGCACAAACTCATGGTACTCGAATAAGACATGTTGGTTTCGTGTACAGGTTGGGCCAGTTTTCAGTGTCTTGTTTGAACGTACTGTTTTTGACTTTTATTTTCCAGTTTTTCTAGTTGGGTAAGCCTGGGGTAGATAAGTTGGATCAGAGGAGAGATCCCACTCTGACTACAAAGGCTTCCCTGGCAGGTGGGATTTAAAAGGGAAGGTGGTGAGAGTAAGCTTGGAGGAGCCAGGTGATAGGCGGAGTCAAACCCTGTTTTTGCATAGAGCAGACCAGAGCACTTCATGCAAGCTTCATGCAAAAGGGCGTTGGGAGAACTGGATTTCCTTTCTTTCTTTCTTTCTTTCTTTCTTTCTTTCTTTCTTTCTTTCTTTCTTTCACTTTTTCCCCTCACTTGGAAAAATTTATGTTTTTCTTTCTGATAATTCACTAGCACTGTACAAAAAAGTAAACAGTACATAGAAAGTGAAGGTTTCTACAATGTCAGTACTTCTCCACTCTGGCTGTGGGGCAGCCGCATAGATGGTAGTGCGAGTTATTTTCATCCAGACTTCTTCAAACACTGTGTATGTCTGCATCTTCATCTAGATAGAAATAGCACCATTAACAGAGTCATAACATTGTGATTTTTCTACACTTTCTCCTCTTACAGTGCAGAAAATTTCTCGTGTCAAACCATGAAGATGTAACCTATTCTTTTTCTTAAAAAATTACAGTTCATATTTTAGAATAAAGCAATTCTTGCACAGATTCAAAGCACACAGAAAAGTACAAAGTGAAAAGTAAAGTCTTTCATGCTTTACCTCTAGTCCTTTTCCCCGAAGGTAACCAATGAGATTGCTATAACAGTTTCCTACATATCCTTCCAGAAGTATAATTACTAATGTCTCCATACATGTGCATATAGATAACATTACTTTGTTCTGTAACCTGCTTTGTGTATGCAACACATCTTGAGATTAAAAAAATTTTTTTTAATGTTTATTTTATTTTTGACAGCGAGAGAGTATGAGCGGGGGAGGGGCAGAGAGAGAGAGGGAGACACAGAATCTGAAGCAGGCTCCACACTCAGAGCTGTCAGCATAGATCCCGACCCGGGACTCGAACCCATGAAGTGTGAGATCATGACCTGAGCCAAAGTTGGATGCTTAACCGACTGAGCCACCCAAGCACCCTTTTTTAAATTAAAAAAAAAAAAAAAAAAATTTTAATGTTGAGAGATTTTAAAAAATCAATATATACAGAGATACTTCCCTTTTCTGACAGATGTGTAATATTCCATTGCATGAATACACATTTCTTTCTTTCTTTCTTTCTTTCTTTCTTTCTTTCTTTCTTTCTTTCTATTTCCTTTTTTTTTTAAATTTTTTTTTTTTAACGTTTATTTTTGAGACAGAGAGAGACAGAGCATGAATGGGGGAGGGGCAGAGAGAGAGGGAGACACAGAATCGGAAACAGGCTCCAGGCTCTGAGCCATCAGCCCAGAGCCCGACGCGGGGCTCGAACTCACGGACCGCGAGATGGTGACCTGAGCTGAAATCCGATGCTCAACTGACTGAGCCACCCAGGCGCCCCTCTGTTTCCTTTTAAGTAGGCTTCATGCCCAGTGTGGAGCCCAACACAGGGCTTGAACTAACCACCCTGGGATCAAGACCTGAGCTGAAATCAAGAGTCAGACGCTTAACCAACTGACCCACTCAAGCGGCTCAAACACACCATTATTTAGTAAACATTTAAGTTGTTTTAAAATTTTGTACTAAAACAAATGGTCCTAGAATAAACATCCTTATAGATTCATCTCTGTATATAGAATAACACATTAGTGCTCAATTCTCCACCCTCTCACCAGCCCTGGGCATTAGCACTTCATTTATTGATTTATACTTTTACAAAATCTTTTGCCGATTTTTTTTTTTATTTCTTTTGCCAATTTGACCAGTGATATCTTGCTTTAGTTTTCATTTCTTTGATTATTAAGGCATCTAACCCTATTTTATATGGTTTGTTACCCTGAATTGACTGTTCATGACTTTTGCTTAGGTGTTCATTGGAATAATTATCTTTTATCCTTTGATAACAGGAGGATCACATTTTCATGGAAACATGCCCACAGAACTCCAAGGATGGATCCAAGGTTTTAAAAAGTAATTATTCTTTACATATTCATAATTTTCTAATAAACTCAACACAGACCAGGCTAAAGTTTACATCTGTTAAAGAAAAAAACAAAGATACAGGAGGAAAGCACAGCTTGTTTTCCAATGTCTCTTGTCATCTGAAGAGCATTTTTAATTTTTTTTATGTTTCTTTATTTTATTTTTGAGAGAGAGAGAGAGAGTGAGAGGTGGAAGGGTAGAGAGAGGGAGAGAGAGAATCCCAAACAGGCTCTGCATTGTCAGCACCGAGCCTAATGTGGGACTTGAACTCACAAACTATGAGCTCATGACCTGAGCCACCCAGGTGCCTCTGAAGATCATTTTTTTTCTTTGTTTCTATTTTTTTTTTATTTTTAAAAATTTATATCCAAATTAGTTAGCATATAGTGCAACAATGATTTCAGGAGTAGATTCCTTAGTGCCCCTTACCCATTTAGCCCATCCCCCCTCCCACAACCCCTCCAGTAGCCCTTGGTTTGTTCTCCATATTTATGAGTCTCTTCTGTTTTGTCCCCCTCCCTGTTTTTATATTATTTTTGTTTCCCTTACCTTATGTTTATTTGTTTTGTCTCTTAAAGTCCTTATATGAGTGAAGTCATATGATGTTTGTCTTTCTCTGACTAATTTCACTTAGCATAATAATCTCCAGTTCCATCCACGTAGTGGCACATGGCAAGATTTCATTCTTTTTGATTGCTGAGTAATACTCCATTGTATATATATACCACATCTTCTTTATCCATTCATCCATCTAAGGCCATTTGGGCTCTTTCCATACTTTGGTTATTGTTGATAGTGCTGCTATAAACATGGGGGTGCACATGTCCCTTTGAAACAGCACACCTGTATCCCTTGGATAAATGCCTAGTAGTGCAATTGCTGGGTCATAGGGTAGTTCTATTTTTAGTTTTTTGAGGAACCTCCGTACTGTTTTCCAGAGTGGCTGCCCCAGCTTGCATTCCCAACCTGAAGATCATTTTTAAGGAGGTAGTGAATATGCTAAGGAAATCATTCTTATCAATTTAACACAGATTCCTCATAAGTGACTCTTTGCTATTTTAGCATACACATAAATAAAAGTAATAAAACAATTGTACATGATAGACTTTCACTCATTCTGACTGATTCCCCCTCAGTTCAAATTACTGAAGTTCTCTTATAATACTGAAAAACAAATCCACTTACAGAGTCAGTGACATCATAATGATTAAGACTGAATTCATTTGCACTCCCTCACACATTTTCCTACTGGATGAGCAGCTTCCTTGTTTAAATATGGAATTCTGTGATCATAAAATGGATTCCATCCAGATACAAAATACGAAAAACTGAACTCATGGGAAATGACCCTTGCAGGGGACACCACCCTCAGGCTTGAAGGGATTTTCTATTTCATCAACTGTAGATGAACCATAATAATAAAACATAAAATATTACACAAAGATTAGAAAATCAAGAATCACATACCTTACAGCATTGTCTTTATAGTCAAACTCATTCTCAGCATCGATAGCCAGTCCACTTGGTCTCTCCCCAGGAATCATCCCTCAGTAGAGCTGAGGGATCCTTCTCTGTGCTTCCAGAACACTGCATGCCTCTCCTTGCTTACTATACAATTTTGAAATGACATGGGATGCCGGTTTGCTTGCTAGCTCTCCAAGTCAAGGCCCACGTGATGTTCACTTTTGTGTGCCTGCTAGTTGTCACAATACCTGACACAGAAAGGGTTTTGTTATTACTTGCTTTGCTGTGTTGCTGTTAATATTTTGAACTATGTGAGTTCGAGCCCCGCGTCGGACTCTGGGCTGATGGCTCAGAGCCTGGAGCCTGTTTCCGATTCTGTGTCTCCCTCTCTCTCTGACCCTCCCCCGTTCATGCTCTCTCTCTCACTCTGTCTCAAAAATAAATAAACTTAAAAAAAATTTTTTGAACTAGGTGGAGAATAGTTTTACTCTCCATTTTTTGGGTCACCTGTGGCAAACACAGCTGACTGCCTATCTAACAGCCACCACTGCCACTTTCCCCTTTACCCTTGCTGGTTGAGCCTTGATTTTGTTTGACGTTTCACTCTCCACAAAGTTATGTGCTCAGGAAATGACTCCTCTTGCCAGAGCAGAAGTGGGAGCGGGGTATGAATGGTGACTGGTCTGTGCAATGTGGGCTGTCCTCTTCCCCTGGCCTGTGGCCCAATTCTAGCCAATGAGGTCTGAGAGTAAGCCACCAGGGGAATTTTGGAAAAGGGCTTTTCTTATAGAGAGACTCACGGGAGGAGTTGTCTTCTTTCCCCTGGGGTCCCATGGATTATCTGGAACTGTGGCAGACATCTTGCAAATGAAGGTGGACATGAGACCACAGAGACATCCTCCATGGTGTGGTTGAGCTGGAGTCACTGGCCTGCCCGCTTTCACTGAAAGAGAATGAACCCCTGAATGCATCCCAATAAGTGCATCACCACATGATAAAAATGGGAAGACGCCAGAGGGGAGGAGCCTCTATTGGGAGAAACAGAGTCAAAATGGAAAGTTAAAAGGAATCAGGGTTTATCTCATGGTAGAGAAGCCTCTGGATAAACCTGGTTGCTGTTTTCAAGTTCATGGAGGGTTTCAAGGATTGAACATCAAATAGTTATACCCTATGACTTCTGCAGACCTAACGGGAAGAGGAATCTTAATTAAAGCAGGAGAGACTCTGCATGGATTTAAGAGAGAAATCTGCTTGTAGGAATGATAGAACCCTGACATGGGCCCCTGACAATGAGAGTCTGTCCCTTTGAAAATAGACAAGAGGGAAAAATATGAGTCTTAGTGGATTTTTTGTTGTTGTTGTTTATTTTGAGAGAGAGAGAGGGAGTTTGCACATGCAAGAGAGTGGGAGAGAGAGGCAGAGAGAGAGAATCCCAAGAAGGCTCTGCACTGTCAGTGCAGAACCCAATGCAGGGCTTGAACTCACGAAGAGTGAGATCATGACCTGAGCCAAAGTCAGACGCTTAACCAACTGAGCCACCCAGGTGCCCCAAATAGGAGTCTTTGAACAGTTTACTATTCACCTACTTAAGGCAATGGGAATAACCAAATGACTACTTGAAGTTTGTCATTTTGTGCTAATTTAGAGAACATAAATTACTGAAATTTAAGTAGGTGAAGAATCAGCTGCAGACCTCCAAAAGTATTCATTAGGCTGTAAGTTTGATCTGACAGAGCTGGAAATACCTGTTTCATCAATATAAGGCCAAAATGTCAGCGTGACATTATAATTTACATGGAACACACACTACTTATCAGAACTTTGTGATTAGTCATGTGCCCAGAACAAGGACACTGCATGAGAAATGTAGCCTCAGGGAAGGTGGCTGATTACTTCTGGAGTGTTTATTAGTAAAGCTGATCCCAATCTGAATTCACTTTTCCATGGAAGAATGTAAAAATGAGTATTGGATTTCGTCAGTTCCTCTGACCATGTCAACACCCTTAAGTGCACACAGCAGGCAAACCACCAGGCCATGGGTGTGGGGCAGCCCTGCTCAGGGCCACCCATTCCCAAGGCCAAGGCCTGGGTTCAAGGACCTACTCAAACAAATGATAATTGCAAGTTGAGCTGCTAGCTGAGAAATTACGGCATGGATCATAAGTAACCGGAGACAATAACTACCTCTCCCCTTACAGCCAATTTTATGTAAATCCTATTATTAGCAATACTCTCACATGAAACCCGGAAGTTAACATAAATACAATAAAGGCATATAAAAATTGGCCTCAAAAGGTGCATTCTTGTTGATTTGATTAGGTACACATCACCACTTCATTTTACTGACATTGCAGGCTGGAGCATTTCTTTTCCTTATGAATTTGGTAGGACAAATCTTAAAATGCAGATTCTGCGTATTGTAAGCCATTTTTTTTTCACAAATCAACAAGTACTCTTATGGTCACACCAGGTATGTTTTCATTGAGGCTTTTACTCCCACAGCAGGAGTTGACCCTGACCCAGCAGGACCCTGTCCTCTCCCTCAAAACGGTCTCTCCAACTTCTGTCCTCCCTTCTCCTTTCATCCTGCTTTTGAAAAGCCCTCCACACCCCTGCGTACTTCTCCGCGGCTCTTGGCAGCCCTGGAAATAGTGTCTGGGTTTTGAAATCTTCCTGATTTTAGATGAGATGCCCAGGAGCTGCGAGGTGCTCTACATGAGCTCTGGCTGTGCTGTCCCCTCCCATTCCTCCTCCCTCTCTGGGCAGCCTGCCGTGGGTGGAGGGGAGTCTGCATGTGTAGCTGGTACCAAGTAGATGCTCTGTTTGGGTCCTTGCTCTTTCCCTTCAGCTCATGAGACCGAAGAAGCGAGGCACCAGCCCTCACACAGGATCCCGGCACCTTACATGGAGGCTGTGAAGAGACCCAGAGGTGGCGGCAAACCCTAATCTCCCATCTAGCATCAGCGTGTCTTCGGGCAAGGCATTTAATCTCCGAATCTCCTCTAAAAAGTTTCCTATAAGGTGGGTAATGACACGTGCTTCCTACACCGTTGTGAGGATTAGGTAGCAGACATTTAAAAAGCATCTATGTAGGGGTGCCTGGGTGGTTCAGTCAGTTGAGCATCCCACTTCAGCTCAGGTTATGATCTCGTGGTCTGTGAGTTTGAGCCCCACAGTCAGGCTCTGTGCTGACAGCTCACAGCCTGGAGCCTGCTTTGGATTCTGTGTCTCCCTCTCTCTCTGCCCCTCCCCCACTCATGCTCTGTCTCTCGGTCAAAAATAAATAAACATTAAAAAAATAAAAGCATCCATGTGTTACTCAGTGTTGTTCTAGAGAGGCAAAAACCGTTTTTATAGCAATGAGACTTCTAAATACCCGCACTCAGAAAACAACAATAGATGGTATTTGCCACTTGGACCCCAGTCATTCTCTTTATTTAAAAGGAAACCTCGGGGCACCTGGGTGGCTCAGTCGGTTAAACATCCGGCTTTGGCTCAGGTTATGATCTCACGGTTCTGAGTTCCAGCCCCATGTCAGGCTGGGGGTTGACAGCTCAGAGCCTGGTGCCTGCTTCGGATTCGGTGTCTCCCTCTCTCTCTGCCCTTCCCCCGCTTGCACTCTGTCTCTGTATCTCTCAAAAATAAATAAATGTTAAAAAAACAAATAAACAAAAAAATAAAGGGAAACCTCAGTTTCAGGCCTACGGTAATCCAGCAAAATAGCTGCAGAGCCAAA